ATAACTTGTGTTATGATTGAGCGCACATCACTAAACTTAGAAATTGACAGAAAGAGGCCACGGCTGAGTCAGATGATACTAGATTATTGAGCCGCACTAGGGACTTATGAGGAAATTACACCCACCCCAGTCACATTTCTAGTGTCATTCCCTAACAAACATGTACAACAAAAGGTCAAAGATCATTGCCACCCCAAGCTAGGATGACATTCAATCTCATGTCATGCGCGGCGTGAAAAGCCACTGACAACTATACTTACAGAGTTTCGGAGGGATACGTTAAAATTAAGGAATGCAAAGATGATACCTACGAAGTTGTGGCAGATCACCTCATGGACCCAAATTACGGTTTGATACCAACATTTTGTTTTAAAGAATATATTTTTGCCTAAGTGTCAGTTAAGAAACAAGGTCGCATGACCCTTGAGTACTCACTGGCCAGTGGATTATGCCAGTTAATAAATTCAGATGATAAATCAGTAGCATGCATCAATTCGAGTCAGATTATTCCCAGTAACATCCAAGGTTATTTGACCCCTTTCTATTGACATGATCTGTTGAACATGGAATTTCAATGTCAATGATCATTGACCTCTCAAGTCACAACTGATCTCATATCTGGCCTTGGATGCTAGCACAACAGTTTCAGACCAGTGCAGTTTCACTTAACATCCTGGAATTGAAAATTTATAAGGCATCATTGAACATGACAAACTTTGTCAGGTGACGGAACAGATACAACGATGATTACACCAGTCTTTGCCGAGCCATCAATTTAGCTTGAATTAGTACCATTCTCCAATGGTTCGTTCCCCATTAGCTTATTGTAATTTACAGCCCCCCCCCTGATTTGATATAACCATTTCTCATTGCTAATGTTCCCACTCAATAATTGGATATCACATTTGCCAAAATTTGTATACCTTCAACAACATAGCAATCGGTAAACCGAGCTTCTTTAAATTAGAACACCACAAGTCGATTGTCAATTGCAATTGAATTGCAAGTTAAATAAATCATCTGGTCGAGTATGTCAATAAAAACCTGCATTATAAAATTGACTCTCATAAATTGGTTCAGTAAGATAACGTGAAATCACATGAGTTGGATTGTTTTTTTTAAATCAAAATGCCAAATTGAGACTAATCCGGCGCACTACCTTAGAATTCCCTTGATGCAAATACTTACGACCCCAGAGAAATTTGCGACAGCGCGGGGAGGGACGCCAGACAGCAATCCACAAATAAAATATTCATGATCACAAATGATTGGGCACTACCGAGAATTACTTCATTAAATCACAGGCCACACTCAGAATAATCAAGTTGAAATTCCGATCAAAGTTGGCGTGTCCAAGGTTAGACGATGAGAAGTCAGGATGCACCAAGTACCAACCCGCAGACGACACGATCTTATGACGTCATTACTGATCAACAAGCGTAAACACAGTCTGTTTCCTGGAATATGACGTCACTGAGTGAATATAGCAAGCTGCGGTGGAGACGTTTCGGCTGGTAGGCGTAAATATCGTGTAGATGAAAGGAGTAGTAGATGGTCTGAGTATTTGGCGGCGCAGATTTCTCTATCCAATGATTTTTTTTTCATGTCGCGGGTAACAATTGACTCGTACCGCGCAGTGGTGCGCACATGGACTGAAGGGAATCTACGGATCAGACAGGTAAGGAGATACAGAAGGAGTGACTCTGAAGTGGTCGATAGATATTGAAACCGGAATTACACAAGGAGGAAAAGATCTAAGGATGGATGCTAGCCGAAGAGGAGGTATGTTGCAACACTTTCATGTGTTTTTGACTCTGTTGATACGTCTAAGTCTTCTAGGATTGGACTGTCTCACGTTACGGAGTAAGTAAGTAAATATGTTAGGCAGATATCAGAACAAAGAACGCCATAAGACGCCCAAGCTGAGAGGTGAGTCAGAGAGACAGGACGAGGGAGAACTCCGCCGAAGGTGAGTGACAAAATACGAAGGTGATAGATTGAGGCGAAGGGGTAATTCCGCCAGGATGAGGTGAGGTAAGTCCACCGTCGGAAAGGATCGCAGCATGTATCACTCATGACGCTAACGCGCTTGAACACACATCTGCAGGACAGGATTCCACGGCGTCGGATAAAATTGTAGGATAGATTCAGTCATGGAGTCTTCGAGTCACACCGGTCAATGATTCAAAGGCGCCACTTGCGGGTGCCATGACTGCATGAGAGTACGGAGTAGGTACCTGTCTATGAGCCCAGTGAGACTGCGGTCGCCGGGCAGCAGGATTGTGTCCACCGGTTCGTTAGGTGAAAACGCGTAAGACGGTCTCTCACAGAAGGGCTGCAAGGGTCAGTAACCAACGTCCGGCCGCGGGGTTTTAGTAGGGAAACAGAGATGTGCCGTGAGCGGCAGAGGTTGACGGACCAATCATAAGCCACTGAGGAACGCTAATAACTGACGCTACCCGCGTCGATCTTTAGACAAGTAATCGGGGTCAAATGATGTAGGTGTTCGAAGAGAGTGGGCCGGCAGAGATTGATTGAACCAATCACATCCATCGACGAACGCTAATAATGTAATCGCTACCTGCGTTGCACCTTTAGACAAGTAATCAGGGTCAGGTGATGTAGGTGTTCGAGGATATTGGGCCAGGGAGCCCAAGAGGTGCTAGGAAGAGCACACACGATTCCAATGCTGGAATGGGGCGCGATAAGTCGTTGGGAGGTAAGAGTAAGCTTAGATGAAATTTACACTAATCACGGAGTCTATTGAACAAATTGCGTTTATTGTCCCTGATATGTACCGCTGGAGGGAGTTAGAACAATTGCTGGGAGGGACTGAGAGGTCGACGCGGGATCAAATTTATTGTAGTGGGATGAGAGAGGTATGACAAAGAGCGTGAATCTGAGGGAGATTGAGGTATGCGTCATATAGTGTAAGGACCAGCGGGAGATCTAATCTCAGCATTGAGGGCGACATTAAATGGGGATGTACTCGATTATCTTTGGGATGATAGGCATTAGAAAGGGAGAGAATGGTGGGTAGCTATCAGGTATCAGATGGTGGCTTCAGGTTATGTCCTCAAGGGAGGCATCAAAATTATATGCTTTGGGGAGACATCCGTGTCCTAAATTCCTTATGAGACAGATACCATCCTAGGCAGTGAAGACTATATGTTGACAAGCGACAAGCCAGCCTCATTATAAATATTGTTTGTGACGAGCCCCAGGCGCAAGGAACGGTGGCAGAAAGGAATCGGTCAGCTTGAAACCAACGGACCGATCAGCAATTGGAAATGGGTGTGTAAATTACGTTTGAACAGGAGAGAAATCAAACAGCAAGAAAATCAACTCATTAATCAACCATTTGAGGATCTACCAGCCGAAAACACTCACCTGAGGTCGTTCCAGAGCACGGCGCAGGTCGGCAACCATCTCGGACAGAAAACACCCCCGATGAACGAAATTTTATTAAACAATATTTTTTTTTTGAAAACATACTCCCCACCGCTTCCGGACCCCAGGGGGGCATCATCACAGAGGTCACAGGTCAAAGGTCATTTGGGTCAGGGTCATGAAATTTTCAGGTTAGGTGTAAAATTTATCAATGCGAGGGTGCTAAAAGTTTCGTCGTGATCAGCCGCTTTTTACGCGAGTTATTCGCGAAAAACCTTAAGGGGTTGCATCAACCCCCCCTGTGCCGGCGAGGGTTAACCTCTCAAACACTGGAAACAAACAGCTTCTCTCATCCTACAGTTCTGCGATATTCTTATTTGACCGATGGAAGTTTCCTCTAAAAGAACGAACGCGTTTACCCGAAAGAATAATCTCTGTATTGAGCGGAGCAGATCCTTATCTGATATAGGTCTATCTATATAGGTCTATGATATAGGTCTATCTTATCTGATGATCCTACCTACCTACTGGATTACCTACTGGATATACCTACTGGATTCATTATCAGAATGGGACGTGTGATTGCGAACATTCGTCAGGAGACTCACGTTGATATACCTAACGCGAAAACGCCTGTCGATATGGTCTACTAAAAAAAAACTGAAATCCGTGGCCCCATAGCAGAAAAAGACTGAAAGCACAGCGACAATTGTTAGTTATCGACGACAGGTTAATTAGATTCTAATCACGTTTTTCTTCGGAGATTCTTTGCACCTATGTTCTGTATTTGGTGTCAGGAACAAGAGTCGATTTATCTACCAGCGGGAGAGCCGATTATTGGGGGGGGGACAAAAGATAGTATGTCCCACCCAACATTTTGGTTGGGGGGGACATGTCCCACCCGTCCCCCCCCCCCCCGGTGGCGGAGCCCTTGCACTTAGCCAGGCTGATGCACCTTGGCGAGAGCGCAACTGAAGACTAAAGGCCTGGCTACACTATGCGTTTTCTGCGTGCGTTTTTTGCAAGTTTGCGTTTTTTTGCGTAATATCGTTCCAGAAAAAAGTCATAAATGATATAACTTTTCCATTAGTTGGATACAAAAGTTAATATAATTCTGATATTAACTAAAATTTGATGTAAAAAACATCACAAAACCGTAATATCGTTATTTTTTCTAGAACGATATCACGCAAAACACGCAAACCCGCAAAAACGCACGCAGAAAACGCATAGTGTAGCCAGGCCTTAAGATGAAAAACGTATTGATACAACAAGTTAGCCGGTGATTCCGGTAGCATGGCTACAGTTGGTGCTTATAACCTGTTACGTACTTGTATTGAATAATTGAAGGGTTGCGTATATTCATTGTTTGCTTCCACAACCCATTTCTTGTAGGGGAAACAACGAAAACAATACAGCTGAGCTCCAATAAACAAGTTTCCAAAGCAGCATATGTTTATGTTCGGCCCTCGTTCTAACTTCTAAATACGGCGTCACGTTCAAAGGCTTATTGTGATCAATATATGTAATGCGTAAGCACCACACCACAGTCCGACCTTTCAAAATGTTACAAAGCCTGTCATCAATAGTGCTAGACGTTTGACACTCACCTTGAAAGCATCTGTAAAGTCGATGGGATTGGTTTCTTTCAGTCCGAACGGGATCATTGGTATGTGCTGCAGTTTGCTGCAGAAAAGAGCAGAATGTGAGCCTCACAATATAGGCGTAGAAGATTAATGTCAGCACAGATACAAACGGAAGAAAAATGCAAAATCATATCTGCAATGCAATGCCTTACTTATGAAGCTACCTATAGATGATCGTTGTTCGATACTAACCTGTCGTCATTTTGATACACATCCACGGAGCTGTTGAGGTCGGATAGCTCCTCCTTGAGAAACTGCAGGTTTGAGTTGAGGAAGCTGAGCTCCAGCGATACCGCCTGGCGAACCTTCTTGTTCTCAGCCGCTCTGAAAGCACGGAAATCATATCATTTTGCCGTAAAACGCATATATCTAGCGATTTATAGGTAGACCTTGCTAAAAGCATGGCTAACATGTAGCCAGCGAATAGGTGCAAACGGTGCGGTACGTCTCAACGCCGAATCATTGCTTGTTTAAAGTCACACATCCAAAGCTTTTGAAGCATTTGTTGTAATTAAAGAAAATATGAACATTTCTTGTGAATCAGATCGGTATTTCATCCAGCCGGCCAGCACGTAACCAGCAAACCAACATAACGTCGGAGCGACCGTTACATGAACCGACTGACCTAAGCGGCTCTCGACCCCCTGTCGAATGAACCGAGTGGATGCTCGACTCCCTGTCAACTGACCTGAGGAGGTTCTCGGCGCCCTGTCGCAGCAGCAGGTGTTTGTTGATGTCGACATTCAGCCGAGAGCGGCGGTACTGCAGCTTGCCCCGGCACGTGGCGGCTCCTGGGTCCGAGCCCTGCAGGAGGACACGGGGCGGGCGGTATTGTCAGTGCTACTGCAGCCGCACAGAACCAGCTATAATCCGAAAGTCGTGGCGGCAGTCCCGCAGGACTTGTCAAAAACAATCGCACAGCCGGGGCATACCGAATGAATCACACTCGATTTTCACAATAGCCTCAGACTGCGTTCTTCTTCGATGCGGTTGTAAACAAAGCTCATTTGAGTTATGCGAATGGCGCACGAAGAAAGTTATGACCGGAATCGGTTTGAAATTTGGCTTGGAAGAGAGATCGACAGCGCAGCGAATAGAGTTTGCTCTCAACCCAATACCTACATAACCAGAACCCACACAGTGCCGGTTATGTGAAAAGGGGTCAACTCTACCGGTCTTATAGACCGTAACAGGTTACCGTTCCGTCCCGACTGAGAGCAAGGTCGCGTAATTCGTAGCACTCTCCATCTCACAGCTAATACGAACCGCTAATGGTTCGGTCAATTTACAAGTATTACGGTCCTCGAATGGGCTCGGTCATTTCGCTGTAATTTGTCGACGGCACAATTATATTACCCGTAACTGAGACGCACTCTCCAAGCAGCTCATGGACCACACACCGTTCCCTAATGGGATGAGAGACATTCGGGTTCATATCGAGGTGAGATAATTTCCTTTTCAGACCTCTCGACCAAACCTTCCAGTTGTGAGGATGTTCTGGTTTCTCACCACGAGCGTCACGATTGAACGACTCAGAGCGGGATCGGCACAGAGCTACCGGCAAGGCGCTAACAGTTCCCAGACATGCACGTGAATGACAGGCAGCGTCTGTCTGCGACTGGGTCACGGGGCCGGCCGGGTCACGGCCTGTAATGGGCCCTCTGTGTGAGCGGAGAGTCTGCACAGTCACACTGTCAAACGCTGCCGTTGTGCAACGCTGAGGACGGATCTCTGATTCCCGGACTGAGGTTAATCGGCTCATAGTATGGAGACAGATGAATCAACTGTGTGTGGTTTTAAGAAGGGTGTTGTGCAATAGGGCTGACGTTTCTTAGGATGCTAAAAGTAACGCTTGATTTATCATCTTTGTTTTGATGTGAAGCTGATTTAGCTGGGAAATTGAATCCATTGTTGTGTGCTGGAAAGCCATTACGCTCCCTGCCATTTGGATGGCGAGTGGTCGCCGCGAGGGTCTGCAATGACACTTGAGTGACATCCCTAATAAATATTGAAATCTTTATCTACAGAGTTTTAGGACAAAAATAAAAGCAAACTCTTCCTTACAAGTTTGTAGCATTCATTGTGACCGAAGGTTTGCCTACGTGGTTTACCAATTGTACTCGCTTAAAACGGTATAGGAAATGCACACATATTGAAACGAACGTTTGCTTGTTTAGGACGGTTCTAGGTAGAAAAACGCCAAAGGTCAGGCCGAGGTAACTTAGTGAAATTTTGCCACATATAATGGTTCTATAGTTTTAATAATTATAGGTAGAATTCCTGAACCATTTACGAACAATATGCATTTGCACATTTACTGGAAAGGCATATACAGCACACACAACAAAAAAAAAAAAACGAAGCCCAGTTTAACGCTGCAGATCATAAATTTACTTGACTTATGTGAATGTTTTCCCATTACTCAAAGATCTGTGGACTGCGCAGCACCTCGGTCAAACGTGCAAATCGCGCCGACAATGCTAAATCGAACCGTGAAATGTCTGAACAATACGATCATAATTCCTATCGCTCTTCTATTTTTTTTTTCATTTTTGCGGCACTGCTCATGAGGGCCCAATCAATTCACAAGTCTGAATAGCGCCCAACGCCAAATAGAAATAAACGTCACGTTTTCATGTCCGTCTTGCGAGATGACTCGCAGAAACAGATGGCACGGATGAACGTGACGGAAATTACAAGCTGAGAATGAGACGTGACATCTATTGTGGTCTCTATCTCACGCGGTTTCAGCCGGACTCAGAGTGGTGAGTCGACGTATAAATGGTCGGACGGTGACGCTACATCGGAGTGTGGAGGATCTGCCGACTGAAATTCTCTGTATAAAAGGCAGCGTCAGCAGAGGGAACGACCCTCCAAGGCTGCCGCACTGCAAGTGTCTGCGAGACATGGGAAGATGTAACTAAGGACGAGTGACCAGCGCGTGATCACGCATTAGGAACGCGTGCATGCCGACTTCAGCTAAACATCAACATTATACCAATACATTATACCAACAACTCAAACATGCAAAGCAGCTCTTCAATCGGGCTATGGGAGCCAGAGGCGCTCTTTTCCCACCGCTACCACGTCAGGCCAGCGGGCGCGCTCTCTCGCTCTCTCCCTTGTCGGGTGCCCTGACCGTTCTGCCCCGAGTGTGACCTCGCGCCCGCCCGCCCGCAGCCCGCGGCTTAGGCGAGGTCGCCTGACGAGTATGCATGCCCCACGGGCTGTGCAAAAAGGATCATATCACTAGCTGTGGAATTGCCCGTAACGGGCTGACAAGCAGATTTTGAAAACATCATGAAATCAGTGCGCCTATTGAAGTTAGCGGCTCGATACGCAATTGAGTTTATCATCTTACATTAGATGTGAAATAGGTAACGAAGACCGCTACTCCGACACAGTATAGGTATGTTCTATAAACATCTGACCAGCGGCCTTGGAACACTTATCGATTTATTACTTTTTTGGCTGAAGATACTTGTACTTTATTAGGTATGCATTATGCATAATCTTATTCGTTTTCACTTTTCTATATAGGTAGGCTGGAAGATTTTTTCGTGGTTCTAAAATTGCTCATCTTTATGTGTTACTATACTTAATTCGTCGGGGTCACATAATCTGAACAACAATTTCAAATTTCTCTAGCAGATACACAATACCTTGGCCCTTTCTCGGAATCAAGGATTCCTAGGAACGAACAGACACCAATCAATTACCCACTCCGAGACAAACGATTAACATCTATCCTCCTGACCCGTCCAAAAACGGTCGTCACTCAGTTTTTGTCACGAACTAGCGATTGAAATGCTGATGGCCTGGGCCCGGCCCGGCCCGGTTCGATCGGCCAGCAGCTCACATGAGCACCTGACGACAGAAGATCAGCTGAATTCTCCGACAATCGTGACCGGCATGTTTTAGACGGTCGGGCGAACGCCCACGCTGGATCGCTGGAACGCCCTTGGAGGACGGCCACTGGGCCGGGCCAGGCTCATTCACCGGGAACAAATAGCTGCTCAGCTGCTGTATTGAAGGCGGATAGCCTTGGATTTTGTTGCTTGTAGCTGTTAGTAGGTGTTTATGTGTACACAATACGTTATGCCTGATTACAGCCTCAAGTTAGCGAGAGGCACCACACCACGCGCGACAGACCCTACAGGGCTCGTCAACTTTGGAACGATTGAACGGCATATGACTTATAGGGAATGACCGACGGCAACCCAGTGCATGATCGCAGGTGTTGATTCTTACCTTTTTGATGGCCTTGTTCTGGGATCGCTCCACGGCTGCTAGCAGCTCCTTCTGCGACAGTCCCATGCTGATCACCGGATGAGTCCCGACCAGCAGCTCCTCCGTCCGCTCTTCCTCACTCTCCACCTCTCTCCTAACCCATGTGACCTCTCGGCACGAGGGTGGACCTCGGTCCGGGTCACCACTCTGCACTCTCCCTCAGACCACACAGGCACACACACCCGCCCACACCACAGAACCGGCACTGCCGGCCGGCCCCGACCGCTTCACTCAGTCGCGAATGGCAGTGATCCACCGCCCCGGGCTCCGCGACACTAGCGCCGCCACGCGGGGTCACGCGGAAACTGGCGACCGGCGCACGGTCTTGCCGAATACCAGATTAGCGCGAATTTAATCAAAAACCCGACTTTCGATAAACTGTTATTTATACCTATCAGTGGGTAGGAAATTGTCTGAAGTTATCGGATAGAACCTTATTTTTAAGCCACTTTACCATTTGAGGACTTATATCCCTGCCGAAAGTAGACCCACGCTCCGGTTCCTAAAATCGGGCTATGGTACTGATAAATATGTCCAGTTTTCAACGTAAATTTTACGGAAGTTTCGAGAAGATATATGAGAAAATAGCATATCACCGGATAGCACAATTCATGATGAAGCTGTTTCTGCTATCATGGTAGCTTTTCAATGAAGGGTTTTTGAGTTTAATGAGTTAGAACAAGAGCCCTGCATGTGTATCGTTCTCACGATAGTATTTAATAAAGAAGTTGAAAAATGTCAAAATGGATAAAAATGGATATGACGAATAGGGCATGGCTGAACTCTCCGCACCTTTCTGAACATAAGCGAGCAAGTTTCAGTTGCCAGTTTTTGCCTATTTGCCGTCAACTCAGCTTTGAACATGTCTAGTCGGCCGCCCTATGTGACCTGACCAAGGTCGGGGGCGGCGCGGCCGGACAGGCTCCAGCCTAATAAACTATCTCAAGCACACGAAATCGTGATTTCATGCACTCCTTGCAAGGTCCGATGCTTCACTTATGCATTGTTGGTCTTACGTGACGTCATTTATGACGTCACTAGGGTAATAAGAGTTTTTCGTCAATAACTCCCGATTAAATTGAGCTAGCGAGTCGAGAAAGCCACCAATGGACTCAGGAAGACTTGCCGAATCGAATGATATGCAACATGACCTCCTTCAACCAACTTCGTGATCTGGAGGACTCTGACCTGACCTTGACCCACGGTCAACACCTTAAGTTAACTTCAGCCGAACAAAAGTATACCATTCGACGCGCCTGAGTGAGGCGAACATGATGATACCAAAATTGCGGCTCTGCGGCATTTTTTCGCGAAGTTATTAATAAAAAATGAATCCGCGCCTAGTTCACTTGACCTGACCTCAGAGGTCACAGGCTGGCCTGAGACCTTAAAATCGGATACCAGTCGCTGCGTCTCGTAACGGCGCACACGCTCGTTTTTTTTCCGCGGGGCTCTAGCACCATCAGGGGCGAAACAGCGACTGGGGTCGTACCAACCCCCCTCCCCCCTTCGGCCGGCGCGTATTTTGAAAACCAATAAGTCCGGCGAGGGGTAAGTGTCAGTTTTGGAACCAGAGAACCATTTCCAGTGGATCCGAGCGGCGCTGGGATTAAATTCGCGCTAAACTGGTGTTCGGCCACACTGTGCGGCGGGCCGGCTCATGAGCCGAAGCGCCGTCTCTACGCCGGAATTTTCATGGTCACAGCGGCCAGAATTCGAGAACTCAGCACTATCACAGTACGGATGATGACTGAAACGTAGCATCGTGATGACGACTTCCCCGACCCTGAAGTCCACTGCAAGGTCATCCACTAGACGCAGCAAAAACTACTATTCCGTGGCCGTGCCCGAGACGGCGTCACGGGTGAGCCGTTTGCCATAAAGCCGTCTATCAAGCATTCATTTAAAGGTGATCATCACCTTCCTATTGCGCCCACATCCAATCGAGAGCCGATTCCGATGACTCATTCCCGCAGCTCTGGACGCAGTGACGCCCATCACCCGTGACCTGTGGGCGACCTTTGACCTCTGGACGGCTCTGACCTTCAGTGAACATTTACGCCACGCCAGACATCACGGCGACAGGGCCTGAATAAGGCAATCAGCCAAACGAAAAGCCTGAAATCGATCGGTTTGTGCGACATGTGAATCAGAGACGTCGTTTTTTAATTCAGTGATCGGTGATGACTTGGGCGCCAACCCCCGGATAAATGGAGGACATAGCCACATGAAAATGTATTCATGAAACTGCGTTTATAATGGTGTGGAAGAGTATGGTTGAGGTCGCCCTACATTTCTTTTGCGTTTTCTAAATGCGCAAATTGCATTTGAGGCATTCCGTAAAGCCAGAGATTCGATTCAAGAGGGCATTTGCAGCGGTTGTCAAAAGACAAGATCGTCAATTAAAATTACTACTACAAGTTGAGTAGTAAGAGACAAGTTTATCTTATGAGACGGACACAACACATTCGGGTGGACGTGTTCCGTCGAGACCTCTTCAACACCCCTCAGTCTACATAGAGCGTGTCAACTAGTGAGTAATAACTCTAAATTCATGGACCCGTCACCCGAGCACTGGGGCATTCATGTTCCATTTGACCTTTCGATACAAAGTCTCGGGTCGGCACGAACTATTGAAACATTTATCTCGAATTCGAAATAAAACGTTGGCCGAGACTGGTGTAGCAACACCAAACCGCTGGCGTTGCCGAACAGGCGCTTTGCCGAGCAACAGGTAAGAACGGTACCTTTTGGACGAAGCGTAATGAGAGGAATGAAACTGACGTTCGATACGACCCCGGATGCTTTATCAGTTAGGTATATCGAACAGGTATCAATAGGATCGCATGCAAACAACAGGAAATCCTCGACCCCGATAGAATAAGACAACGGCTGGCTTAGTTCCCATTGATAAGCACCCACTCGCGATCTGAATATGTTCGTCCCGTTAGAACCCCCCCCCCCTCCCCCACACTGAGAACGAAATAAGGCCATCCGAGGTCGGGGCTACCATCTCCACTCCACCGATTTACTCAGGAATCCTTGAGCGCAGCGGTCTGGCCAGCTAGAGCACAGTGTTTATAACACTTTCGCCGTCGTCAGAACATAATTTGGTGGCGGACGCTGTGATTGTTTGACGTTGGTCCGTCGCTCTCGGAAAATCTGATGACTGTGCTGACAGCTGAGTGCTGGAAACAAAATTGGGAGAAATTCGCTCAGCGCAGCCCGCTAATATGAGTCTCTGTTTAGACGTTCCTATAACAATGTGAGAACTCGGGATTCAAACATGAACTTTCGACTTGGTATCTAGCAAAGGTTTAGCTATAGGTATGATTCAGATAATGGACCCGGATTCGATGAGTAGGCGGAAAAGACAATTATAGCTGATAAGTAAGCACTCACACTCGCCTAAATAGTTCAGTTCCCCTGTTGCAGATGAAGCACCTAAGAAGTGTCCATTTGATTCATCAGAAGGGCTTGTGGTATCAATATGTGCTGATACAGCTGAGACTACTAACGGCTTAAACATGCGCTGCAAAGTGTTTTCCTCGGCGATGATGCAAGAGACAAGCTAACTATCTGCTACAATTTATTACAAACGACTCTCATCGCGGCAGTTTCTCTGATAGGCAATCAAATCGAGCGGTGATCACATTGGTCGAATTTCGCTACTTTATATCGGCAAATGAGTCATTAATACAGTCATTGTTTATCGGGCCTTTGTGAAACAATGACACAAAAGTCGCCTGCCGAGCGATGGGCGTCATCCACAGGCATCCGCGCCGGATGACACCGCACTCGCGGAGAAATCGCCAGCTACGAAAGTGACGCTCGCGTCACAGAATCGGCGCGTGACGGTTGTGACGTCATACACGTCTCTCACTGAGGGGGTGAGGGGAGGGGGTACTTCTCACGACCATTGAGGTCGGCTCGGGCAGCTTTCGTCTGTCATTGTGAAGTCGGTGTGCTGGTAAACGGTGCCGGAAGAGAGTTCAACTGTACTGAGAGTGAACTCGGCGATTTATTGTGATTTCTGATGTAACCGCTATGGTCCCGGGATGAGAGCTTTTTCAATGGGAACATCGAATGGTGATGACCACGGCATAGGCTGCTTGAATGCGTTAGGCTCGATAAATGCAATGACACTTAGGTACGAACGTTGCAGCCTGTAACGTTCAAACATCGTTTGAGCTGTGAGAAATACGATAAATCTTCCCTACAAGTAGTAGCCCATCCAATACTGCACAGTTCTGCGTTTGTTTTCCAAACTCACCCACGGAATCAGTATAAAGCCTACTTCCTCACTACGTCTCTTTGCATTGCAGAGTCCCCTGTGCGCACTGCGCAGCATATAACAATATCCGCCGAGGAGTGACCCCTGTCCGACCCGACTCATCTCCTGCCCAGTCCGTCTGCACTTACTGCTAGCATCTGCGCTTTGCAGGGAGCGTGTGAGGTCCGAACGGGAAAGGGAAGGGAGGATAGCCATCCGGATGCAATGTCGCCCTGGGGAGCATACAACCGGAAATCCGGAAGCGATATAAACGATATCTTACAGCCACGACAGCCCTGGTTGGCATGTTATACGGCAGGGCACGAAACGGCCTGGCATTGCGCGACACAGGGTCGCAGAGGGTCCCAGTGCCAACCGTGCCGTGTGGTATCGCACTCAGGTCAGGAGCCATCGCGCCGCTCACGTAAGGAGTGATAGGCCGACGCGCAATGACAACACAAGCTGAGGATGAAGGGCGACGAATGACAGTCATATAAAACAAAGCGGTCATGTCGAATGCACAATGCGCATAACGCAAATGTTTTTCTTTACAGTTAATAGTAATGAAAATGAATGGGAGCTATTTGATATGCCACTTACAAAACGCTCTAGTCGAGTTTATACCTGCGTGACCCCGAGTGTGTTATGGCTCCGTGCCCCGGTGCACTATTTCCGACCCCTGTTTACCAACACACCACTAACAGACACAACACTCAGTCGGCTCTCCGAGGCCAGCCCCGTGCGTCTGACGCCACTGTTGTGCCGCCCACGAGCCAAACTCAGAGCGTCACGCGTCACGAGCAGCCCAGTTACGGAGCCGCGTCACGGGTCACGGCCACGAAGGGCAAACATACCTACTGCACGGCAGCGGGCGTGAGCTCAAACAAACACCCTGGGTGGTTCAGAACCGGTAGCGATCACGATCTTAGGGGCAGTGATGCATGATACGGCTTCCGGTGGCAAGGGCAAAAGGTGTGGTCCAGTAGCACAGCTATTGCTTTTGCCTCTTGAACTTGCAAAGACGAGACTAATTGGTGGGCATTGAACGGTTCAACTAAGAGGAATGTTTATACAGTATAGCGTCAAAAGGAATACCACGCATGTTACAGGCATGTTCGAAGCTAGTGTTGGCGGCTATCCTTCCAGTTCCTTTGAAAACTCAACCCACATCCACCGACGAGGCATTGTGTCTATTCCACCCGACCAAGAAACGAGTCAAGCGCTGCAATTTGGTCCGTCCAAACCGTTAGCGCACCCAGTGTCCAAAACCCCTCGATGTGCAGTGACACGACCGTCAATCCCAGTTGCCCGGTCACGACTCTGGCGACCCACCCCGATTGAATCAGCCTGGACTAATGTCGTCTCTGCCTAACACAGCTCTGTCCAGCCCCGCGCCTGACGACAGCAGGCTCAGAGCTGGAGCTGGGTTGTCCGGGGTGTTTTCATTTACATTATGCAGTGAGGCTGCACCCTTCTATTCCAGTGTCGATATCTGGGTGTCCCCGCCAGGGCTACTGTCGCCGACAGGGCTTGGTGGATGGTTATTCGTGACCTCGACTCAGCTGTGATTGCACCGTATCTTGATGCGAGCCCGCCGTTCGCATCGTATTTGCAGGAGATAAATACAGAGCTGTAACCGTCAATGGACAGGGGCCGCTGTCACCCACTTTCCCAAAATCCGAATGCATTTAAAAAGGCCACACATGGGCTTCTATCCTGATTCCTGACCTAACTACAACAATCATCCGGACTACAGCCCACACCCACAGCCCAGCTGTCTGACTATGAAGCCCCCTAGCGCCCACGGCCCTTTCTGCAACCACCAGCAAGCGATCTTGGCGTCCCCTCCCACTTCCT